TCTCTCTCTCTCTTTCTTTCCTTATTGCTTCTGTGGGCATTGATTATAGATGCAGATAAAATTAAATTCTTGACAATTTCAACCTTTGCTCCATTTATAGTGATTTTGCTTACTGGTCCAATGTGAGGCATCTTTTTTCTTTATACCAGGTGCAATCCATACTAAATACTAGTATTTGATCTTTATTAGTAAGTGCCTCAAGTCCTCTTCACTTAAAGCAAGCAAGAAAGTACCAGATGCATATTGTTGTTGTTGTTCCTAAATGCTGTCAAGTGAACTCTGATACATAGTGACCCTGTGCACAACAGAATGAAATACTGCCCCATCTTGTGTCATACATACAATTATAATTCCACTTGAACCCATTACTGCTGCCACTGTGCCAGTCCATCTCAATAGAGGTGTTCCACTTGTTCATTGACCCTCCACTTTACCAAGCATGATATCCTTATCCAGAGGCTAGACCTTTCTGATAACATGTCCAATGTATGATGTACAATGTCTGGCCATCATGGCTTCTAAGGAGCATAGTCATAAAAGCACAGGTAAACATCTTTCTGGTATTTTCTACTTTCGGTCAAGCTCATCTGACATCAACAATAATATTCCTAGTTCTATGTTCTCATTTGCATCCAGCTTGAATTTCAGGCAGCTTCCTGTCTATGTACTGCTGCAACTGTTTTTGAATGATCTTCAGCAAAATTTTACTTGCATGTAACATTAATGATGTTGTTTGATGATTTTCACATTTCATTGGGCCATCTCTCTTGAGAATGGGAACAAAATGGATCTCTTTCAATCATTTGACCAGGTGGCTTCTTTCTCATTTCAAGTCATAGACAAGTGAGCACCTCCAGTGCTCAATTTGTTAAAACTTTTGTTGAAATCAATTTTTTGAAACTTTTCAATTTGCATTCCTTTAATTCCTGTAGTCTTGTTTATCACAAATCACTTTAGTGCAACTTGGACTTCTGCCTTCAATACCATCAGTACTTGATCATAGATATGGCTTGAAATGGTTAAACATAAATCATTTCTTTTTGGTACATTGACTTTCTATTACTTCCATCTTGTTTTGATGCTTTGTGCTTCATTCATTATTTTTCCCATGTTATTATAATTACATGCTATTGGGTTGGTTCTGACTCATAGAGACTATTCCTGTGCCATCCTCACAATTGTTATATTTGAGCATGTTGCTGCTGCTACATGCTCAATCCATATGTGTCAATCCATATCATTGAATGACTCCACAACATTTAATAACAATGACAATGACTTTGAGGAGGCAACTCTCCCCTGTCATATTTTGAATACCTTCCAACTTGAGGGGTTCATCTTCCAGTACTATATTTAACAATGTTCTGCTTCTATTCATAAGATTTAAAGTTACTAACAATTCAGAAATGGTCTGTCTCTCCTACTACATGGTGGTTATGTGCCATGGAGTCAGTTCCAACTCATAGAGACCCTGCATAGGGTTTCTGAGGCTGTAAATCTTTATGGAGCAGAAAACTTCATCTTTCTCCTGTGGAACAGATGGTAGTTTTGAACTGCTAACCTTAAGGTTCGCAACCCGATTCGTAACCACTATGCTACCAGAGCTCCTTCTCCTTCTGCATAGCCTATGTTAATTTGCTGAAATCTGTGCACTATCAGTGACCCTGCTGATATTTAAAATACTGGTGGGATAACTGCCACATCACAGTGACATGCAAGCCACCACAGTATGACAAATTGACAGACACGTGGTTATACAGAGAAAATGAAATAATTGCCTTTATTCTACTTGTTATTGTTGTTAAGTGCCGTCGAGTCGATTTCGACCCATAGCGGTCCTATAGGGGGTTTCCAAGGAGCAGCTGGTGAGCTTGAACCACCGACCTTGCAATTCAAATGACTTTGCAGTCTGATGCATTCGCCCACAGCGCCACACCAGGACTGCTGAAACTCCTGTCATTTTCCACTTTTCTAGTATAAAGTAGCAATGCAATGACCTCTTTAAGCAGATATCTTGGTACACTTTGCCCTGTAATGTTCATTAAATTGTTCACTTAAAAAGCACACATGTTAAATACTAACAAAATTTTTTAGGGAATCATTAACATCTTGTACCAATGTACACATTA